TTGGATGATTAAGGGAGTGTTACATGCAGTATTAATGGCACTCAACAAGTGAGCTATGCAGAATTAACGTACAACTTGTATATAGTCCTCATTCAGTTTATGGTGTTAAAGTTTATATCCTGAATTTAGAACCGACTGTTATTGTCTGCTTTATTCAAGCTGGAGTAGCAACAAGTATGGTCTGTACCCTGTAAATACGCTCTTACTTTCTTAGTATTGACAAGTAGTAAATATACTGAGCGGTCTTAGTAAGGAATGGATTTAACAATACTCCGGGGCGTGTATTATTTTTGACGAAGTTGTTAACTTTCCGCCCTCCTTTTAACGCAAGATTTTTTTTCAACTTTTTGGTCTGAAGGGATATTCATCGCACGACATCTCCAAAAATACTTTCACTACTATACTACAATGATTATTACATTCGTTATCATATTCACAATCCTCTCGGCAGTCGGAGTCATTGTCAAAGAGGCTCTTCAAGGGTTTCATCCCTCAAATTCGGAGGAGACACGAAGGTTATATTACCGACGCCAGTTTGTTTGTTCATCCTATCAGTATCAGGTGTTTCTGGAGGAAAAAGGGGAAGAGAAAAGCGAAAATCTCCTGTCTCGTAGCCCCTTAGAAAAGCCTGATACTCAGACTAGCCTATTAAAGGACCAGTGTATAAGTGTCATATTTCGCAACTATTATTTTAAATAATGGAACGGTAGTTTAACCCGTCCAGGGCCCGCGCAGGGGGAAGGGCTCGGGGAGCCAGGGTCCCTCACTTTTTGAAAAATAAATAAATAAAATTAAGTACAGTGGAACCTCGATATAACGATGGGTCAAGGGTGTGGCAAAATATATTCGTTATAACGAGGTTTGTTAACTTATATCGAAAATTAAAAACTGCTCTGCGGGCCCTGCCGTCTAATCTTTGTTCAAATAACCAACCCTAAAGTTTTAATGTCTATACTTTTAACTCGTACCCAGATCGCACTCTGTCTTTGAAAGGATCCGCCTTTCACAAAGATGGTCAGCAGGTGCGTGAACGCGTTCACTGATCAAGGAGCGCTTGTTGCGTGTTATTCATGCTTGCGTACTACAAAAGCGCCTGTTGGAACGTCTAAGGAAGACTGAAACAACCCCAAGGGCGTTTAAAGAAATTTCAATTTGTTTCAAATTAGCCTTTTTCCATATGTAGAATAGTCAAATTTACCTAATTCAACACGAAAAAAGTCGGTAATTCCCGTGTTTAATGTTAAAGAAGGCTTTAGTCCATCCATGTGTGTCCATTTGATCTGTTCGACGGTACATATTGTCTGTTAACTGTGCCTGTTAATGCAACCCGTTAGGCTGTCGGAGATAATAGGCGAATTGACTAAATTGATGCACGAATTGTTGTTCTAGGATCCACTGCCGTGACATGTGTCATTTAAAAGTTATTATTGGAGCCTTTTTAGAGGACTACCTATATCCCTATTGACCCTTTGTCTCGCGTATTACGGAGAAAGCCATGACTCTTTCGGTGTTTTACCATTATAATGCTTGGACAGTACGAGTCGATCCCATCGCACCTAAGTGTCAGAAGTCCAAGCCAATTCTCCTCCGATCGAGACATTGTGAATATCAGTGACATCGCGGACATCGCGTTTTTGTTTCTTGGAATTCAGGGAAAGTCAGGGATTTTTTTCAATTTCGGTTTCATCACACTAGTTAAGAGGCACGGAAGTCTAATTGAGGTTTGACGTTTGGTTTATGCTGCTTTCAGTCGTCATTTCGCCAGAAACATAACGAGTACATAAATTAAGATTGCAGGAAAAGTCAGGAACGCAATGAACCAGCCTCCTCCTCAGGCGCTTCGTTTTTCGCGAGGTAGAGGCGAGCTAGCCTGAATTTCATCCGATTACTTCGAGTCGTTATTACTCCCTCAGTAAGGAGAAAACGACTCGAAGCAATCGGATGAATTTCAGGCTAGAGGCGAGCGACTGGTGGTGAACCGCAAGGGACCATGGGAAGGGTACAGACGGCAAGCGAGAGAGAGACGTCTGGGTACGAGGCAGGCACTGAACGCTACAGACCGTAAGGAAGGTATTTTCATTCAGCCAGCTTTTGTCTATGGCTTGCGTTACTTGTTCAGGGACGAGTTCTCAATTATTTTTCATACGATGTGACCAAATAGATTCATTGCTGGCGTATTAAAACAGTCAAGAACTCATTACACAGCGAGAACGATAGAACTCTTGTTTTCACGCTTCACAGGACACCAGTCTAGAGGTACGACAGGCTTTGATTCAGGAGGTAACCATTTGAACACCGAAGAGAATTTCATTTTGGTTGTATGATCCCTGTTTGGGTAGAACTAGTCGATCCGATCATAAGTGTCGGTAGTCCAAGCGAATTCGGCTCCGATGAGATTTTGTGAATAACGCCCAGCTATCAGTGACATCGTTATGGACAAAGAGGTTTTGTTTGTCGCAATTTCAGGGAAAGTCCCGGACAGATTTGCATAATATGTCACAAACAAACTTCATTTCAGTTTTTTTTAATAAAATGTTTGTATGCGAGGATGGTAGTTCTTTTTACTTTCTAAAAAGGCGAAACAGTTTAAATTTTCGTTCGTTTTGCATCCTGTAATATTGGCGAAATGACTCTTTCCCAAAGAAAGATTTTGCTAAAATTGTTTTGACTAGTTTGAGACAAATAACGTAAATTTGCCTTATTTAAACTTGCTAATTTGGTTTTCAGTGAAGTGGATACAAACTTCACATCATCATTTTATAAAATTAACCAGCCGTGTAAAATAATCATACTGCTAAGCTGCATGTTGACATTTTCTCATTGATATCTGTCAGTGCATCATGCAGTTTTTTAAAATATCTTAATTGGTACAGTTCAGGACTCGTTTTGGACTATTCGTTATCGGTTCCTTATCTCGACACCAAAAATTTACACATTAAGGTATTTATATTAGACATGTATTTTGGAAATCGGTTCTAACTATTCGGCATCCAGTTCTGAATTTTTTATAATAGCTTTTGTTTCTTGGAATGCAGGGAAAGTCCCAGATTTTTTCACATCTAACTGAAGGCGCGAAAGGGCAGCTGACTTCGAGGTAAGTAGATTGGTTTATAAAAAATAAACTCATCTTAGTTTACCTTTTTCTTTTTCATATATCTTACTTGAGATTTAAAATTTTCGCACTAAGTTTTCGAAAGTTTCCTGAATTGCAAGTGTGTATAAAAGACTCACAAAGCTCGACCTCGATTGGTAGGGATCGTTTGTCGTGGGATTTAAAAAGTTCGAAGCAACTCTTTGAAGAGCTCATACAATCAAATCGTTTCGCCTTTACGAAATGGATTCCCTTAAAAAGAATAGCTTATAAATGTTCCCAGTTGATATAGACAGAAAAAAACCCTACGTCTGTTTCATGCATGTTAATATGTTAATTGAACTGCGTATTCCTTTCTTGGTATCGTTTATCGTACGAGGCTTTGATTTCTGATCGTAAAATGCGCAGAGTCCTAAAGCTTTATTGTACTTCACTGTACCGGCTTAGAGATAGATTTCCTGGTAAGTTCTTAGTAGCGTAGCATACATATATGTTAGGGACCGGTCATTATTTAGCGGGGGTGAAGGGCTACTATGTTTGGGGGGAGGGTCAATATTTTTTTAGCCTCACTTTGGGGAGGGCCATTTTTTTAAAAATGCCTTTGAGGGGAGGGCTACGATTTTTTTAGCTCATAAGTATTCTGTAAGTATTTAACTCAAGTCTTCAAACTCACAATTCACTTTATTTGAGCCAACTGTATCCGCTCTATGTAATTACACGTGTAAACGTGGAGTACTGTTTTACAAAAAGTCTCTATGAAGCATATCTGTTTTCTAAAACACATAATAACTGAATTTGTTTCCTAGTGCAAAGTTCTTACAATTTTAAAAACGGAACATGAGAGAAAGTCATCAGTAAACAGCACTGATAGAAACATTTGAACATGTACACTGTCACCAAAAGATAATGATGTTGTCAGTTTTTCTGGAGCATTTTCTTGCCTATTACCCGTAGGTAATGGGCAAAATATTTTGATATCAAAGGCGGTTTAAAAACAAAGGATACAATCAGGCTAAAGCAAGAAGAAAAGAAAAGAAAACCAAGCAAAATGAACCAGGAAAAACGCAAATATTCGAAATTTAGTTTGAAAGATGATCCAGGTATGGTATGGACTGAGGAATTATTCCAATATGGACCATAATCTTCAATATCTGACAAAGATGCCTCTCCTGGTTTGGGCAGTACAGAAACGCTGCAGTCATCATCATCACTTTCGTCTTGTTCCTCACTCCAGGCAATATCATCATGATCTTCATCATCCTCGTTCTTATCGTCGACGTGGGAGGAATTAGTTGCTTCACCTCTTACCTTGCCTAGTAAGCCTGCGAGGTAGGTAGTCCTTCGCGTCACTGCTTAGCTGAGTTGTGTCATTTTGGGATACCAATAATTCGGCCCATTTCTTTTCTCTTTGTTTTAAATTCAAGACAATCTCTTTTTGTATGTGACCCTTTTCGCAAAGAGAGTCCTTATCTAAGCCAGGGGCGATCTTTTGCAAAAAGGCTGACGTCCTCTGCGAAGTACGAACAACCTTACGTTTTGCAGCGCGGTGTTTATTCTGTTTTTTCGAACGACATTTCCTCTTTAAGGGTGCATAATCAACCTGAAAGATATTTAAGGCCTTTGCTCCGAGCTCAGAGAGCTTGGATTTAGTCGTAGCTAGCTTGGTTTTGAGTTCGATCAGCACAGAAATGACATCCTCGTTGAACCTGTGGGACGTTCGTTTCAGCTTTAATTTTTCCGTTGGAGAGAACTGCAGATTCTAGATCTATCTTAACTTTTTGCTCAATTTGTTGCAAAGATTTTCCGCCTCTTCGATTCGATTTAAGTTCATTTTTATAACGGTGTTACGTGAGGTTTTAATGTGTGGTTCTCCCTCAGTAAGTAACCTGCAGTGGATGGGTTATTTGCATTATCCAGTTGTTGGATTTTGGCCTTCAGCCTCTCAGCTTCTTGGTGGACCGTGTACTGGCGCCTTGCTTCCTTGTGGAATTTCTCAGAAAACTTTTTTTTGACACAGCTAAGAAAGTGACATTTTCAACAAAAATGATTCATACACTCGGTTGAAAAATGATGTTGTACTGGAGGAAATTGGCGAAGAAAGTGACCAGGAAGAAGCGACAGATACCGGCGAGAAAAGTGATACAGATCAAGATTACGACGAGAGTGACAACGAAAGCGACGTTGGCAATGATTATGAGGACGATGAAGACAGTGATAAGGACAATTATGACAACAATGATGTCGGCGACAATGAGGGTCTACAAATCAGTGACATCTTGTGTACTACCAAATCTGGTAGAACATGCAGGACATGGAAAGCAAGATATCTCTATTACTGATTAAAGTTTGATGTGCAAAAAGAAACATAGAACGTTATTTGTTAACAACCGTTCGAGTATTTTGTCCTGGGGGAGGGTCACAATTTTATTAAATGGAGTAAGGGGAGGGTCGGAGGTTTTAAAACTCTCAGAAGGGAGGGCCACAACTTCTTGGCCGACTCTTTTCCTCATTCTAGTAGCCCTCCCCCCTCGGTAAATAATGACCGGTCCCTTACAAACATAAATCATTTCCGTTTTTTTTTTAATGCTTGTATTGGAGCATGTTAGTCCTTTTCAATTTCTTGGAAAGCAAACCAGTTCCAAATGTCGTTCCTTTGGCAGGGTTAATATTGCTGGAATTAGGTTTTCAGAGCGTAAGTGTTATAATACATCTTGGCACAGCCGCGATTGCTGGGTTCGTTAACCTTGCACAGCGAAACAGCCGTTCGGGACTTCATAGCAAGTCAGGCGCCAAAAACTTCCTCCGAGGAAAGTGAATAGTTTGAGTTCCCCTTACTACCAAGAAAAATTCCCAATATTCGCTAGCGGTTAATAAATCTCCGCGATTTCTAATTTTCATACTCGCGCTTGACGATCTTAAAAGATAAAATACAGGGTATAGGAACAGGCTAGCCTTTCCCAAGTTTGAGAGATTTCTAGGCAATATTTGCTCCTTCCAACAAATTATACAGAAAAAAGTCGTTGGGTGCCCCTGGTATGAAAGTTCCAAACGATTCATCAGTAGACATGCTGCCTCGCAACACGCCGTGTATGTTATATCAGGGGCTATGGTGTTTCTTTTGGGGAATCATTAACATATGGGGCTTTATTTCTTACTGCAAGGACAGTCCCAGAGTTTTCAATTTTCACTTTCCTTTTGGTACTTCTCCTTCTCGATCTGGTGAGACAGATTTCTTGGTGAGTACATTGATCTAGCCATTTACATTCCCTAGTTTAAGATTCAGTTCTTGTTGTTTGTTTCCGGTCGTTCCATCTTCTTGGAAAGCGAAACGATTTCTTGTTGATGATCGGTGGTAGGGCAAATTAAGATTTCTTTCGTTGCCATTTCTAAATACTGGCAGACTTTACATCAACAAAAGATTTTGAGAACTTGATTACAAGGACAATGGCTACTTTAAAGCAAAGCATTACCCGCTTATTCAAACTATTTAGTTTGACGTCTCTTATATAACCTTGTTTGGGATTATGGTTTCATACTTTAAGTGTCGGAAGATACAAAAAACGTTATTTACTCCACTGATAGTTGTGAATCTTTCAAGTTCATCCATTTTACAGGTTGAGCAACAAAAAGTGACGGTTTTTTTCCCTACTTTTTAATTTTATTCATGCAACGTTTTGTCGGTTATACAGTTGGTTGATTCTTTCTGTTCAAAAAATGATCTGCCTTGATCTCTTGTATCTCTCTTTTCCTGGCAGTTTAGGATGCATTGTATGTCAGCATTATGAATCGCTTTTCGTGTTACCTATATTTGATATACTATTTAATAGGGCGTCGATAAAACCCGGAACATGGAACATCCCGGAACATTCCGGAACATTCCGGAACATCCCGGAAGATGAAAAAATTAATATTTTTTTATGAAAAAAAAAGTAATTAATTAAATAAAAATAATAATAATAATAATAATAAATAATAATAATAATAATAATAATAATAATAATAAAAAGAACAATAGATAGAAAACAATTTTTGCAAAAATTTATAATAACAAAAATAAATAACATAACATAACATAACATAAAACGAAAAATAAAGAAACAAAGAAGAAAAGAAAGAAAAAGAAACTGGTATCATCTCCGAGTATGAGAAAACAATATTTTGTCGCAACGAATTTTTTGGGCGAGTGAGGGTCCATTCAAATGACAGTAATGAGTGAAGGCTTGCTTCTAAATTCAAAATATATTAAAATGGGTCGCGAGGAGGGGGTTTTCAAGCTTTCCTCACACAGCCACCTCTTGTAAATGTTTGCCATGCGGTTTAACGGTTATCAATTTACGGCTTTGCGACCGAAAGAAGAGCTTAGAAGCTCGTCGCTTTGGACTTGGATAATTAAATCAAACATTCACATTCGCCGCAGAATAGCTGCAGTGGGCAGTGGTAGCGCAGCGGTAGCTTCTAACTGTTATCAGTTAGCCTGAATTCTAGTCGTCTCCCCGCAAACTCCTCTTGCGACTCGAGGAGACGTCTGAAATATCATGCTGACTGTAAACAGTATAGAAACTACTACGAATGTGAGTATTGTCCGCTAAAATCCAAAGACAGGAGCCCCTATACTCTTCTTAAATTTACAGAGCCGCCTAGTCTGTAAGTAATTCATGTCAACCTCAAGTGAAGCAAAGCACCTCAAGTAATAAGCAAATGTCGGCTATATACAAGGAGACTATATGTGGGCTTGACATGAGTTACTTACCGACTTGGCTTGACATGAAATACTGCACTGACATTTCAGACCATCGCAGAACCGTAAATGGATAACCGCCAAATGATTAACTCATGGCAAACAATTACAAGAGGAAACTGTGTGAGGAAAGCTTAAAAACCCCCCTCCTCGCGACCCATTTTAATATATTTTGAATTTAGAAGCAAGCCTTCACTCATTACTGCCATTTGCATGAACCCTCACTCGCCCAACAAATTTCAATTTGTTGCGACAAAATATTGTTTTCTGATACTGGATACCAGTTTCCTTTACTTGATTATTTCACTATTTTTCGTTTTTTTTTTTTTTTGGTTATTTTACGTTCATATTAATTTTTACAAAAATTATTTTATTATTATTATTTTATTATATTTTTTTTTTCATGAAAAATATTTTAGTTTTTTCATGTTCCGGGATGTTCCGGGATGTTCCGGAATGTTCCGAAATGTTCCGGGATGTTCCATGTTCCTGGTTTTATCGACGCCCTATTTAATATGGGAGCAAGATGATTTTGTCTTTCTTCCATTCGCCGAGATCTTATAAGTTCCGCTTCGTGTGTTAAGCGGTACTGAGCATGTGACATAATTTGTCTTTAGTTTCAGTTATATTTATATTATATGTAGCTTTTCTTTACCGTGGCGGCATGCGAGCCTTTAATATTCCCTGTTAGCAGTGTCAACGAAGTAGCTCGACATCCATATTCAGGCCCCCCCTTCCCCCAAATTTTCGGCAGCCCCCCATTTTTGGAGGGCAGCAAGAGAAAATTTGGGCAAAGCCAGTTTTTAACGACGTTTTTATGTTTTTTTTACTATTATTATTATTGTATTTTCTTATTATTTTCCTATTTTTCATGTTTTTTAAATTTTAACCTGAAGTCAACGTAATATTTCAGTTACATTCACACGAGACAGTGGTTGCCTAGCACGTGATGAGTTTCTGGTTATTAGGGAAGGGTATCATATGTTGTTTTACATATTTGTATGTTTTCATTGTTCGGCACTGCACTAGCTAGAATGGGCTATTTCCGGTCGTGAATTGATTAGAATAAGCTTCCTCATAACTTTCTAGAATCATCTCCGCTCGTAGAACACTGTATGGCAGATAGTATCAGCAATGGGTCTGAAAATGAAGAAGTGGCTGACTACTTCAGTTTAAATTACGAGAAGAATCTTATTTTTTTCAAAAAAAAATCTATCGAGCGGTTTAAAAATTATTCGCTGATTTGTTAAAGTAGACCGAACTGTTTACAAAACCACTAACAAGAGCGCCTCGATACATACTAATCAAATCCTTCTTTCTAGCGATCGGCCGGAGCTATCTCCACGATCTTTCACAAACGTTTCTAAACCACTGTGAGGTGAAATTGCATGGTCAAAAGCGCTTCGTTTGCTATAAATAACGGCCTAACATCAACATTTTCATGTTTTACCGTATTTCTAAGGATCACCCCAAAATATCTCGATAACGCTCTTAGAGATTCCACTTTAACTTCAAGAACATCGAGTCGACCGTATTGGAGAAAAAAGTGAACGATTTTGTAAGAACAGTTCCCAGTGCCAAGAAATATTGCTGCAAGTAAAATAGGTAATGGCGTCATTCCGTTGCTTTGACAACTCCGATGTCATTGGAACCCTGATCATGGCAAATTTTCATCTTAATCTAATACAACTGTGGTGGCAATTTTTTTCAAATGTTTGTTTATGGCGACGTAGTTTAAGCTCGAACTTGGGAGGTATTGACCCTTAAAAACTGTATCGAGCCACCTT